TCATCCTAAACAAGTTAAAAGCCATATGCTGAGTTTGAATTTAAAATCAATGTGCCAGAGTGTATGTGTATCTACCTCGCAAAAGAAGTAATCCAAACAAGTAATGGATGCATTGCATACATATTCCTAAACACAGTCAGGGATGTTCTTCTTCTGTGATTAAAGGACCCACTTATGAAGAATAATTTATTCACATATAGCATAGCTACTAGAAAGAAACATTCCTTTCTGGCTGAGGCTTGGGAAGTATTTTACCCTCTTCCAGGCTGGTTTTTAAACTACAGCATTGCTGATCTTTAATGCAAAACAGCCACGGTTCATAAGGAGTACAGATGGAGAACAGGCTCTCAGGAGCTGTGCTGCATTACAGTAGACAATCACGTTGGCTTTACAGCTAGGCAGCTGCAGACTTTAGTCCAAAACATTGAATTATCTTATCTACAGTACACTTCAAGTCTCATTCGTGAAACGGGGGTAGGGGATTAATGACTAATGCTTCCTAGAATTCTGTATTAGGAACTTCCAGGGACAACCTAAGGAAAGGAATATTTGTTTTAGCTCAAGGTTTCAGGACATTGCTGTATATCATGACAGGGCATGGCAGGACAGTCCATTCAGAGGGATGGAGTGGCTGAGCCTGATTTCTGGAGATCCGGGGTGCAGAGGGAGCTATGATCCTCAAAGATCTGCCACTACACTAGTGGCTTGTTTCTTTTAGGTAGGTCATATCTACTACATTTTCCAGTCTCCCAAAACAGCATCAGCCATAGAAGAACTTAAAACATGAGCCTGTGAGGGCACTTTAGATTCAAACCATAAAAGACTTTGTGAGAGGGGCTGGAGAGATGGCTCAGTGGTTAAGAGCACCCACTGGTCTTCCAGAGGTCCTGAGTTCAATTCCCAGCAACCACATGGTGGCTTACAACCATCTGTAGTGGGATCTGATGCCCTCTTCTGGTGTGTCTGAAGAGAGCAATGGTGTACTCAGATACGTTAAATAAATAAATAAATAAATAAATCTTTAAAAAAAGACTTTGTAAGAACTAATTAGTATATATATTTGTTACTATATATTTATTAGTGTATATATGTCACTATATATATTAATTAGTATATATATATATATGAGAAATATGAGAATATGTATATATGAGGAAAAAATGAGAATGTATATACATAAACATATATATGTGTATATATACATATATTTGCCTATTTCTAATTATATATTTGTGTGTGTGTGTGTGTGTATGTGTGTGTGTGTGTCCTAAATACAACCATAGCACAACTAACTGGTTCTGAAGTAAGTGAATGTTACTTGTTATTGTGGATTCTGTAAGCTTCAGAGCTGACTTGGGAGTGTCAAGGTGAATACCAAGATAAGCACACCATTGTAACAATAGTAATTCTTTATTGATATCTCTCACAACCAAGAGCTGAATTTGGCTTTCGTTGTTAGTCATTTTGGAGACCTAGATCGGGGAAGAGTAAGCAAAACTCTGTGAAATCCTTCAAATTTAGACTTTTATCTGTTAAAGACAAGTTTCATGTCAAATCTTCTGACTTAAAGCCTGATTTCTTTCTTTGTTATTCCTACTGAGAAAGCACTTAAACATGGTCTTGATCCTTCTTTTTTCCTGCTTGAGAAGGTATGCCTGGCATTCTCTGATGGCTGAGCTGAGAAAGTATGGCAAGGATTCTATTTTGTTTGCAAAGATCTGTTCCCAAACGACTCGGGGGATATTGAGCTTACATTTTCGAAGGGACAGCAAAGCTCTACAACTACCCTGTTTCAGTGTGTTTTTCAAGAAAATGAAGAATGTGTGTGTGTGTGTGTGTATATACAATATATATATATATATATGTATATATGTATACATATATACATATATATATATATATATATATATGTCAAGAATGGCCATCAAGAAACAATTGGTAAGGGCTCTACATATTTTCATGATTGAATGTTTATGGTGTCTTAAAATTTCACCCTTAGAATGAAAGGTTATCCTTAGACTATATTTTTAAGACAGCCCCCATGACTGAATTGGAGAAGGAGGGGTAACATCACCACACCTATAGTTAACCACAGCTGATTCTCACCAGGCTGGGTAGTTGTGTGGTTTAAGGTCCCTCTTAAAGGGTATAAGCAGATCCCAAAGGAGAGCTGGATTTGAATTAAAAAAAAATATCTAATATTTGGGGTCATGGAGAGGAGACACTTCTGCCACTCCCAGAAGTGTGGGTGCAAGAAGAGGGCAAAGGGAATGTGACAGAGCTGAAAGAAGTGCAGAGGGATGGGGAGGGGAGGGTGCAGGGGAGGGTGGGGTGCAGGGGAGGGTGGGGTACAAGGGAGGGTTGGGTGCAGGGGAGGGTGGGGTGCAGGGGAGTGTGGGATGCCAGGAGTCAGTGTGGCTTATGGAGAGGCATTTGGTTCTAGGGCTAGTCCTAAAAATGACTGAGAATGTTATCTTGTTTAAAATTATGATTTTCCCTGTGTTCTGTTCTAAGCAAAGATATAAAAACAGCTAAAAGGCCGTGTTAATATTTCTTAATCACATAAGCACACCTCATCTCTTAGGACTTGAATCTTACATAATTTCATTTAGCACGTTGTTGTTGGTACTTGAGAAATACCTGGGGAATGAGTGAATCCTTTCATGATTCTGCACTCCCCTTGCTTTAGGAGTGACTCAGCACTGAAGTGGGAACTTGAAATTTAATGCTTGATGTAGCCTTAAAAAAGTAAAGATATATAGCAAGGTATTTCTAGTAGTATTCTCTGTTGTGATCAAGATGCTTTTAAATTCATTTTGACTTGAACAGCCACTAACCAGATGTGGGTAGTCAACATATGATTGATAGTTTGAAAGATTAAGAAATTGAATGTTAATTTAATTTTATTTAAACCAAAATAGCCAATGGCTAGTCCAGATCCAGTCTCATTGCTCAGGTCAAATGGTTTTGTTCAAATTATCCTGTCCTCGACTTTTAAAACAAGCTATTTTTTAAAGAACTAATACTATCAATAAAATGTAAACTCCTCTGTGTTCTTTTAAAACTGGAATATCTTGGTTTGCCTAAAGACTGGTCTATCAAACCAAATTGACTTGTGCGTGCAGCAGTGCCTCTGGAGAGTTTGCACCATTTTGAGGACTTGTATGTGCGGTCAATGCCTAACACTGTAGACCTAAAAGCAGCGCTGAGCATGCACAGTTGCCATAGTGAAGGATAGACGTGGCTAGGCACTGACAGGCTTGCTTGATGAAACAGTGTTCTCTCGGATTCCCCCTCTCCAGCTGCCCCTGGATGTTCAGTGGCCTCTAAGGTTATCCTCCACCTCACCCCACCCCCCGCCAGCCTTCTAAAGCCTTCCCCCTCTCTTATAAGAAATTTCAGATCGCAAAGGAAAATAAGGGGTCCGGGAGAACAAGTGATAAGAAGTATCTTTTAGTTGCATGCTAGACATTTTCTAAGATGCTCAGTAAAAACAGATTGTCTGCACGAATGGATGCTATCCGTGTGGCAAACAGATGAGACCAGGGAGGCTTGCTTTTAACGTACAAGTTTTACCATTTACAACAGATAATGGGTTCGTACTATCTCAGACCCGGGAGTTCACTGGAGCTTGGAGCAGTTCTCAAGCCTCTCAAGCCTATACACACACCCACAACACTCTCTCTCTCTCTCTCTCTCTCTCTCTCTCTCTCTCTCTCTCTCTCGTTTGAACTCCCTAGCTTTGTTTGCTCTTAACCTTTCGAAACTACACAGACCAATAATATTTACGTAAACAGATGAAAATGTGTTGATAGAACCTGCCTCCGGGGTCCCATCCCCTCCTCTCCTACGTTCCTTCAAATCGAATAATAATCGCTCGGAGCAGTGTCAGTTTACATAAATGGCTCCCTTAGAATCTCACGCTGTTCAGGAGATGCATTTTGGTAGTTTAGTGGCATTAAAAAATAGTAGATAGTTTCCCAGAGCCTGGACACTTACATAAAAGCGACCTGTTCATTTATAAATTAAGCTTCAACGGGGTTTGCATTTTTGTAAATCTATGTTGTTTCGAGGTGTAGGCAATTGATTTGTGTATTAGCCATTATCACTACAGATTACTTGTATGGGACGTTAAAAACTGGCTCCGCCCCCGTTGCTTCCTCCTACCTCTCGAAATCTATGATTCGGACTAGGTCTAAAGAGAGAGGAGCATTTGGAAAGGATTTGGAGATTAAAAATACGATTTTCAACACAAAGACCACAAGCAGCGTTGGACAACAAGAACTACTTAAAATTTAAATAGTTTAAAAATTTAAAACATCACATCCCCAGAAGTTGGAGGACGACAAAAGTCCGAGTCGTCCAGTAAGCTTCCAGAGACTGATCGCCCTTCTGCTCTGAAAAAAAAAAAAAAAAAAAAATCCGGGCAGGCGACACGGACACGTTGCGATGAGTTTCAGCTGCAGAAGAGGAAGAGCATCACCTGCAGTCCGAGGCGTGGGAAACACTGCTGGACCCGGTCTGGAAGCCAGCGAGGTGAGCGCAACGGGGGGCCCTGGCTGGCTGATCCGGTGGTGAGTGCGAAGAAGCCGGCGCTTGGCGGAGCCGGGAGACTCCGCGGGGAGGAGAGGGACGTCTGCGGCCAGGAAGATCACTGCAGCGGGGAAGCTGGCGGCAGCCTGGGAGTCCTTAGCTGCAGCTGGCTGGGAGGCCGACTGAAGCCGGAGAACCCGGTCAGCGCCGGGGAGCCGGGGGCGAGGCGGGGCTCTGACGTCACCTCCCCTCCCCCAGCCGCTCCTAGAGGGAGGAGTAGGGAAAAGAGGCAGAGAGATCCGCCGCAGTTGCCGGCCGTAACTCCTCAACTCGGCAGCTGGCTGCCTGGACATGTCCTGACAAACTTGGCTTCCCCTCGGCTCTCTCTCCAGACCTCGTGCGCTCTCTCTCCACCTCCTTTGGTGCTCAAACTTTCCCCGGGTCGAGAGCCACTGGAAATGCGCCCTCCTGAGTCCCGCCAGCACCGGAGGAGGAGGATCGCGCTCTGCTTGGGGATATGCTGAAGAGCCAAAGGAGGCAAAGTTGGTACTTGGAGCCCGGATCCTAACAAATATCCGAACGGCGTGGGAATTACCCAACTGCCAGGGACTGTAAGGGAAAGCACCGAGGACCGGGCTACTGTGGTGAGTTCTTTGTTCAGTGCATGCCTTGTAGAATTTAAGTTTAATCGTAAATGAAATAACGTGGGGGATGTTTCACTGTGAGCGATTGGGGGGAATTCATGTGGATCCTCCACGGTCTGCGCTCAGGGAACTGGACTACCCAGTGGCCTTCACGGGGCGCGGGAATGGAAGGCAGGCATGCGCAGCTTTTGGAATTCACAAAATACACACAGAGCGCTGTTCAAAAGAACTTGAGAAGTGAAGCCGTTTGTGCATTATTTTCAGTGTAACTTGTTATAGAAATGGTGCCCAGGGAGGGCGCGTTGGGGACTGGGTGATCTGCAGTGGCGCAGCGCCCTCTAGTCCGAGCATTAGGCAAGGCGCGCTCCCAGCTCCCAGCTCAGTGCAGACCCCGAACTTGGACCTGCCGGGTACGCTTAACGACGTGGACCAGACAGAGCTCGATCGCTTCCACCTCAGCTTTCATTTACACCGGACGACACTTAATACATTTCAAAAAAAAATCAGCTTGGGTGGACTGGGTGTAGGGGCAGTGCTGGGGGGAAAGGATTTTTTTTTGGGGGGGGATGGGGCAACGGTCCCTTTTCCACCTAATTTCAATGAAGCTCGGGGTCAAAGAAGATCGACTATTTAAAGGATGTTCGCGAAACTTGAACTACAGTTCTCTTCATGTGAAGGCAATTCGCTCGTAGCCAAAAAGGTATCTCCATTTCGTTCCGTTGGTGGCTAAAGGCTTAGCAAAATGTGGCAACACAAGAGACTGCATTTTTGGCTTTCAGCGGTTCCTGTAACGACCAAGTGCAACTTCTTCCAGGCAGTGAGATCCATTAGTAAGCCTGGCTATTTAGGATTCTTAATTAGATATTTTAGTCCGAGTAAGCACTAATATATCAATGAATTATTTTTTTTCAGGAATTCCTTTGTACCATTTAGAAAATTCAGTGATGATTTAATGTTATGGAATGATGTGTTTTTATACTTTTTATTGTTCTTTCCCTCTCCTAGGCCCTCTCGCACCCCCTCCCCCAACGGCTTTGTGTGTGTGTGTTGTGTATGTGTGTGTGGCTATGTTTTGTTCGGAGTTAAAATTCCGGGGAGGGGAGGGGAGGGGAGGGGGTCGCAAACTGGTTGAGGTTGGAGATCAGGTCTCCCACTTTCGCTGCGTTCACTAACCGGTAACTCCGCGAGCACTCTGCGCAATTGCAGCCGGGGCCAGATGAGACTTTGGGTTCCGATGCTGTTTTGCCTTTTCTGGGTGTTGTGAATATATACGTTCTAAATAGTGAGCGGGGAATTCAGAGGTACGAATCAGCACGCTCATTCTGCAGGCACTACTTTTTCTTCCCAGGCGTAACCTGCTAGACAGACACCATTATTTTTTTTTTTCCAGCCACCGTGCTTTAAGATGGCTTAAGAAGTGACGTTAACTTTGAGCCAAAGAAATACACTCTAGCCTCTGTCTGCGGTGCAATTCCCTCTGCAGCCCCCTCCACCCGCTCCTAGGGAAATCTGATCTCTTCGTCCTCGCAGCGTTAAAATGATCGAGCCCCACAAACTTTCCGAGGTCAAGTCCTTCCTCTTCTCTGGGCTGCGTCCCAAAGCGTGGCTGGCTTCGGCTGAGTCTCTGAGTCTCGTTTGCTCACCAGTCGGTACCTGGAGCTCTGCAGGCGCCGGGGGTAGACTTGCAGCCCTAGGATGCACTGGCTGGACGTTCGGGCGCCAGAGGGAGTTCTGCAAGTGGGGAGCCTGCTCGCCCTGTATCGCCCTATCTCGCAGGAGAACTTGTAGCTGCGGGGCCAGGCTCACCGATTACGGGACCCTTGTGGCAGAATTAAGCGCTGAGAATGCGCACCGGGATGCTCAGCTGCCTTTGTCCTACTGACCCAGGGATTGAGGAGGTGCGAGCAAGTGTGGGCGCCGTCTGTCTCGGGAGGCTAGCAATCCGGCTCACCTCCGCGATCCGGGAGGTCCAACCGAGTCTGAATTAACAGGTCGCGGGAAAACTTATGCATTTCCCCTGGCCTAATGTGGATTTCAGGAGGAAGTAAATTCCGACCTAACTGCATTCCTTTCCAGACCCTCTGTAGTTTTTTTTCACTCCAGCGGCTGCAGCCTCAGAGCGAGGCATTCAAATGCGGATTCGGGGATTTCCTGGAGGTTGGGGAAAAAAAGTCTAAAGGAATGTTGGGGGGACGTGGAGGGGCTGTTCCTTAGGTCCTAGGTGACTTCTCCCTACTTTCTGACTTTTTTTTGGGGGGGGGAACAAATGTTTCCCCTTTCCTAGAAGGGAAAATTGAATAAAATTCCTTCCAACAGCAACAGCTCGATATTCTAGCACAGTCCCCAAACTGTCCCTCCGGGTCTCATAAGCTCCTGGAAGGCGCTCGCCGGGCTCCACGTCGGAAGCCCGTCTGGGTAGCCCCTGGGGCGGGCGCTTCTGCCCTGGGGCGGGGCGGCCTCGGGCTGCGCGCACGGAGTCGGGGAGTCTCGGCGCTGGAGAAACGAGAGCCGGCGCTGGCAGGCGTGGCCGCGGGCGGAGGGATACGCACGGCGGGGAGTTGGGACGCGCGGACCCGGCTGGACGCGGCGGGGCTGGACGGCCGGCGGCGCCATGCGGACGTGCGGGCCCAGTGCGGCTCCCGGCACAGCGGGCTCCCGCCGCCGGGTGCGCTGAGCACCTGGGCCGTGCGCTCCGACCGCACCGCCGCTACTTTGGAGCCAACTTTGCAGTAAGTTTGCTAAGGGTGGAGTTGAGGCTGGGGCCGCGGGTGGGTGCCCTCCTTCCCTCCCTCCCACGCTCCTCCGGCTGCACGGTGGCCGGAGCTGCTGCTGGTCTCCTTGCCCTCTCGCTGAGATGAGTGGCGGCTCCAGGGTGCGGAGGCGGAGGGGTGGAGGGACCCGGCGGGACGTGGAGGGAATGGTGATTGCAGAGTCGGCGTCGGACGCTGCGGTTCCCCAGCAAGCTTGCTACTCCCCGGCCAGCATGCTACTCCCCGCAGCGCCAGGCTGTCTGACCCTGAACTGCGGGCTCCGGGTTCGACTCCTGTCCATCTCGGCTTTGGAGCGGTTTCCATGTACAGAGATGAAAGCGGAGCCGATCGCTTGAGCGTGGGATCTTTGAAATGGAGTCGCTGAGTTTCTTAGATGTTCTGTGCCCGGAGGAGTGCAGTGCCGAGGTTTAATGCGGCTCCTTTACAAGGCTAAGCCTGGGGGGTGAGGGGGAGTGTGCGACCAGGCAGTTAGTTGCTTGTCTGTTTTCTGGAAGATAAACTTTTGAGATCTTGATTAAAAGAGAGGGTCTGCTTCACAGTCTTCTCTGATTTCTTTCAGAGAGCTAACTTTCGGTTGTCTTGTAAGAATCCCACCCCCCACTGATGGGAATTGCAGGGCCTTGGAAACAAGGAGACAATTGTGTGCTATAGCAAAGTAAATTCGCAAATATTTTCTATGTAGTTAATTTTTTTTTCTTGTGCCTGAACTATAGTTTCATTAATTGGCTTTTGTTAAGCAACTCCCGAGTGCTGGTAGAGATTAAAAAAAAAACTGAGAATTTACTTAGACTATTAGAATCAGAAAAGATTTAAAAGACACATAAGTTACCTTTGCAAAAGCTAACGTGTGATCCTTCGTGTATTCGATATTTAATAGTTTAAGAGCATATTTTCATGTGCTATGCTAAGAGATGTTGATGGTTTTCACATCAGTCTTAGCTCTGTTACCCAACCACACAAACAGTTGTTGCCTGTACTCCACAACTGTATCGGTTCATTATAGGTTATTTGGCTTTGGGTTTCGGGATCATTGTTCATATCTAGGTGTTAGAACTTTTCCTCTCTCCTCGTTAAATATATATATTTTTTAAGATATACAGATATTTAAAACGTGATTTTTTTAAAAAAAATGATGCAACTCTCAGCTGTGGCTGAAGTAGTATTTTACAAGCTTAGTGTAACTTTGGTTTAAAAGTTTGCCCTTGTGTGCCAATTTCTTGAAAAATTAACATCTTAAATGAGCCAACTTTTTTTTTTTTTTTTTTTAGAAACTCCCACTGTGAAAAGAAGTAAGGTTGTTAGAGGCCTTCATAAAGTCATTTGGGCCACCTGTGAGTTCATTTTTGTGGGTCTCTCCACATGTCTTTATTGGTTTCACATTGTGTGCTAGTAGATTGATCTAACTTCATTCCAAAGATATATGTTCAAAGTAATAAAGAATGAAGGTTTCCTTTAAGTAAGTCCCCCTTTGTAGGGTCCATCTGCAAAGTCAGCTCTTGGGCATCTTTGGAGAAGGCCTTTCTTAACTTAACGTGTTCGAAGTGGGAGAGCTCTTAGGGCATTGATTCTCTGTGTAATGGTCTTCGGAAGTCTGCTTAGGCTACCTGTTTTCCACTTAGGTCTGGCTAGTTTTATATTCAATAAGCCAAATCACATAGGCACATTCTAGTGTTAAATGCTGATTTGTAGCTTGAAAGACCTTAGTTCATAAAGGAAGTGGAAGGACTCTGCATTCTAGTCTTCATGGTTGGGAATTTACAGTAGGAAAGTATTCCTTTTTGAGCAGATTGTGTGGAAGGTGAAGGCAAGCACTATCTTAGACCCTGGAAAGGTGTTTTCAAGTCGGATGGTGTACACCGTTTAAGATCAGAAAGTGGCTAGTTCTCCTTTGAGAAGAAGCAGTTTTACTTAGAAACTTGTATGTTGACTATTTTCAAATATGAAAATAACCCTTTTATTATTATTTTTAATGTGTATGGCTGTTTTGCCTGTTTGTATGTCATGTGCCATGTGTGTGCCTGGTGCCCTCAGAAGCTGGTAAAGATCTTCTGGAAATGGAGTTACAAATGGTTGCAAGTTGCTATGTGGGTGCCGGGAACCGAACCTGGATCCTTGGGAAGAACAGCCAGGCTCTAAAACTCTGAGTTATCTTTTTTTAAAAATAAACTTGTCTTTTCTTGAAAGGTCCAGATTTAAATATTTCTCAGATTCTTGATTAATTCCAAGAGC